ATATATATATATATATATATATATATATATATATATATATGTGTTTATGTATATATGTCTGTCTATACCTACTGCTATCACGCCTGGTGGGGCGAAAGCTTGGTGGTGTCAACGGGGGCTAAGCCATGCAGTATAACTGCAACAGCAGCTGTGTTTTGTGCGGCGCTATTCAGGCAAGATGTGCGAGAAGACAGGCGATCAGTTACGCGAAAGATTCCTATCACTCTCCGTCAGCTTGAGTCCTTAGTTCGCATTGCAGAGAGGTGCGAATTCCCTGCATCCTTGAAACCCAGTACTCTCCAGCACATGTTCATACATTGAGCTCGTCTTTCTGCTGATAAAGTTATTTATTTTATTGTATAGCTGCATGTAATGAGTTCATCTTTAGCATTAATTCTTCTTATACACGTACGTGAGGCTCTGAGTGATTTGCTTTCTAGCCAAGAGCTACACACAAAAGCTGCTTATTGTGAACTTTTGCTTTCAGTTTCGCACGCATGGAATTGGCGCCTGCGGCCCAGGCTTCACACGTGAAGCGCGCCATTGATTTGTTCTCCGCTTCAACTGCTGAAACAGCGAAACACGCCCTCGTGTTCGAGTCCCTCACTCCTCTGCAGCAGAAAGCTATCAAGGTGCAGTTCACTAGCTAGCCGGCGTTGCAATGTTTATGCACACGAATGTGCTTCATTGTGCATATCCTCTAAGAAAGCAAATGCCGCGAATGCGTGTATGCATGCATGCAAGCCGATCCCGTTGAGTGCACAGAAGCAGCCTCAGTGTCCTGCTGAGTTGTGTTGCTGCAGCTCGCAGAAGACGCGCTCATGAGCCGCCTACAGCCAGGGCAGCGAGCCCTCCGCCGTAACATCGTCCGCGACCTGCAGCAGCAGGGTTACGACAAACTGGTGGTGCAGCGGTGAGGACATCTCTCAGTGCACTCTATGCCACCCCGTCAAGCTGAAATGCATGCCCAGTTGCTTCCTGTGCGCGGTGCACGCGGCGCTTGCCAGGCAGCAAAGCACGAACTGCTCGTTTTCTGTTTGTATGCTGATGTGTTTGAATATCAGGGCAATCTCTATTCTTGTACGGCGAGGTGACCTCCAAGAAAGAGGAGATCGCTCCATCAGGAGGCCATGAGAAAGCAAAGGTGTATTTATTA